CTGTCACTGGATCTAACCAACGCCTTTATCCACTGTGCTGTCTACATATGGAGAGAAAAGGGAGATCACCGCCCTCTGGAGGATCAGGATGAAATCATAGACAAAGAACACTATTGAAAAATTCGTAAACTTAAGGAATCAGCACATATGCTAAGCCACAAAAATCTCCTGAGCCGACCAAGCATCGAAATGAATACAATAGGGGAACCAGTAATAAGGAATACCAGAGAAAAGTGATAATAACAACGAAAATTGAAATATAAGCTTTGGTAAAAATATGAATGATGACAGCAAAAATTGCAATATGAAAAATGGTAAAAAATGTTTGCTGAAGATATTAAGTTTACAAGTCCCAGAAATTCATACACAGATGTCCTTAAGGACACATGGCACTGCGTCATTGTGGGACGCCAGCGTGATAATAATAATAAGAAGAAGAAGAAGAAGAAAAAGAAGAAAAGATGAAGTTAACCATGAAGAAGACGGCGAAGAATGAAGATAATAATAATAATAATAATAATAATAATAATAATAATAATAATAATGTCGAGATCTAGAAGGAGAAGACGAAGATGCCCAAGTAAAAGACGCGGGAAAGGGACAGTTATAATAATAATGAGAAGAAAAGGGAGATAAAAACGAGAAGACGTGTGTAGTCAAAAAGAATGCGGGAAAGAAAAACGGTAACATCAACAACAACAACAACAACAACAACAATAATAATAATAATAATAATAATAATAATAGTGAGAAGAAAAAGGAAATGTAGAAGGAGAAGACGAAGGTAGCCAAGGGAGAAGACTGCGAAGAAGGACAATAATAATAATAATAATAATAATAATAATGAAGGAGAAGTATATACAGTATAAATCAAAGGAAATAATAATAATAATAATAATAATAATAATAATAATAATAATGACAGCTAAAGCGAAAAGAAGATGTAGATGTAGAAAGCGAAAACAGCCAATAATGACAACAGCAACAACAATAATAATAATAATCTATCAAATTACAAGGATCTTGAAATCGAAATCTCAAAAATGTGGCGCAAGAGGACATCAACAATTCCAGTTGTAATTGGAGGCCTCGGATTGAGAGGAAAAGATTCCAGTAGACTCATAGAAAGGATTCCTGGTGACTCATGCCTGAAAGAAATACAAAAAGAAATGTACTCAAAAATGCAGCCCGCACTTTACGAAGGACTTTGTCTATGTAAAATATGTCTGGTCATAGGGTCTTATTTTACCTCAAAAGATGCTCAGTGGAAAATATCATGATCGCTATTTCTGACCTTAGGTCTCTGGTTGGGACCCGGTCGGAAATGAGTACACACTGGGAATCAAAGGAAATAATAATAATAATAATAATAATAATAGTAATAGTGAGAAGAAAAAGAAAATATGGAAATAGAAAATAGATTTTGCAAGGAAGATGAGGAAAAACAAAAACAACAACAACAATAATAATAATAATAATAATAATAAGAAGAAGAAGAAGAAGAAGAAGAAGAAATAATTTTGAGAAAGAAAAGGAGATGTAGAAGGAGTAGACGAAGGTAGCCAAGAAGAGGACTGGATGGAAACACGGTCACAATAACAACAACAACCACAACAACAACATCAACGACAATAATAATAATAATAATAATAATAAAAGAGAAGAAAAAGAAAAATGGAGAAATATAAAGTGAATGTTGCAAGGAAGAAGACGGCGAAGAGGACCATCAACAACAATAACATCGATAATAATAATAATAATAATAATAAGAAGAAGAAGAAGAAGAAGAAGAAGAAGAAGAAGATGATGATGAAAAAGAAGAAGAAGAAGAAGAAGAAGAAGAAGAAGAAGATGATGATGAAAAAGAAGAAGAAGAAGAAGAAGAAGAAGAAGAATGAGATGAGAATGAAACGTTGAACAAGAAGACAAAGTTAGCCAAGAAAAAGCTGAGAACGATAAAAATAGCGATCATATATTGAGGCATAGACCATGAAGACGAAGAGAGCGTACGACTAACTGATAAATGCTATTAATTCATTGCGACAATAAAAAAAAACAGTAATTATAACAACAACAACAACAATGTTGGCAGAGCTGGGTCAGAGAATGGCACGTAAGAAGGAAATGAACGAAAGTAAAAAAGAGAAACGTGATTTAAAAACAATGCAAATGGCGTTCAACGAAATCTGGTTGGTGAAAGCAAAATCACACGCGCATTGTAGCAGATACAATCACCACGCAATTACCCCGGGTGGTTTCCATAGTACAGATGCCTATTTGATGTGGAATCGGGCGATTCCGGACCGTCTTAATCATTAGATATATGACCGAAGATTATGATAGGAAAAGCCACAAAGCTACCGAAAAAAGAAAGTCTTACAAGTAACTGTATCGGAAGATGGCGGATTTAAAACACCAAAGAAAAGTGATTGTTTTTTGCATTACTAAAGCCAGGCGCGTCCCTTTGGAAAGCGTGATGGCAATGTGAAAAAAAAAAGAA